ACAGCTCTCATGGCCTTGTCCACATCCCCAGGGGCAACATCCTGAAACTCAACCCAGGGATGGTCTACCAATTTATCCTCTTGTGCCTCGGCTGGATCTGCAAAAGTGGAGTCCAAATCCGACCGAAACCGAGCAACTTTGTCCGCCAAGAACTGGAAGAAGAATCATCCAAGAATCCTCAGCCCTACCCTGCAAGGGGTCCCCCGTATCCCTCCTATGTAGGAGGGAGCGGGTTATCCTAAACAGGGCGGCTGGGCGGGACTCAGCGGACGCAACCAAGGGGGCAATATAAGATCTCTTTGCTGCCCTAAGTGCCCTGATGTATTCCTTGGTGCAGGTTGTTAAGAGTGCTCGGTTCGATTCGGATTTATCGGACCTCCATAGGTGCTCTATGAGATTGAATAGAATTGCTGTGCAAATGCTGTTCGAATTAGTCAGAATCTAGGGTTTAAAATTCATTGAAGAAACAGGGCACTAAGTTCCTTGGGCATCTTTTATGCATGGGCACAGTCAAAAAGATTTTTATCAAGTAATTTTGAATACCGAATCAAAGCTACATTTATTCACATTTCATATGCTTGTCTCTAAGATCAAATCTATTGTAGAAAAGTAGCTGTTGCCTCTGTAGGGAACAAACAGGTCCTGGTTACTCTGACAAGCATTATATATTTATTTCACATTCTCAAAATAATGATTAAAAAGGCTTTCCCATCTACTGAGAGCTACTGTTCAAAGTTCATAATTGAAACATTAGAGCATGCTAACAAAGGACTTAGCTGTAATGGGGGAAATCATAACCACAAGCCTATTGTAGTTATTTTACAAGACAGATTTTTAACATTCAGGTAGAGCAGTCAAGTTATTTCAATCTTTCCTCCTTTTTTTTTTCTTATTCCCCACATTAGTCCCTAATATTAACCAAGTGCCTTGCTTCCTTATAGTGTGGTTTCTTCAAGAGAGATAAGAAAGATCATTTTGATGCCACATATCACAAGGCTGAGATCCATGCTCAGCCATCTGATAAAGAGAGGCTTACTTCTGATGCATAGTATTGATCCACTTCTGTAATTGGTAATTGCTTTTTGAATTTATTAGCTGCAGGTTGGTTGCGGTGGCTAACGACTCAAAGCTTGCTGCATTTGTTCTGCTGGTTGCCTCGTTTCAAAATATCAATTCTTTTTAATGCTTGCTTACATTCCTTAGAATAATCTTTCTCGGTGCACGAATATGCCAATCCTTCTGTCAGATGTTTTTAAACTGCTGTTTACTTATGCATTTCCCCTTCCACTCTGGAGACTTGCTACTTAGAGTTGGCGTCCCAGTCCTAAATACACTGGGTCACAGTCCGGGAGACTAACCGCATCTCCGGAACCCTCTTCTGATTTTTCTATGAAGGAGGGAAGTCCTGTGTTAAGCCACTCTGGTGGCTTTCAAACTGTGTTCCAAAGAATGTTGGCTCAGTTCCTTGAGAAGGCAGGAAACTCGAAGAAGCTTTTCCAGAAAAACAACTTGCCAGCAGCTAATGTCCAAGCAAATCTTTAAAGACCGGTCTGTGAGTTGAGTAAACTGTTGGTCCTTCTTAGAGGATCATCCTAAATCTCCTATAACATTTTGGGGCTCACTAGTACTGCAGTCCACAAGCTTTTTTGTACCAGGGACCAGTTTCATGGTGGACAATTATTTCGCAGACCGGAGGGTGGGTGGGTGAGTGGGAGAGGAGCGTGCAAACTAGATCCCTCACAGTTTATAGTAGGGTTCGCTGGTTACTAAACATGCCATGGACTGGTTGGACACCACTTCACTAGCAGACCTTCAATGATATGAGGAGAGCACTTTCCCAGAAAGAAAAGTGCTGAGCTAAATTGTCATTTCTTAACAAACAACCAGACACCCAGTAAACTCCATCTGTCTTATCTAATAACAGCATGTTCATACTTAGGTTGAAATAGTCTTTGAGTCTCCTTAAAACTACTTGTGTGAACACTTGCCTCTTAAAGGACAAAGCAGCATAGAAGTGTCGGGATATGAAGGTTGGGGTTACAACTTTAAACCACAAATCTAGTTTTCATACACGGGGTTAATGAAAAAATTCAATGGGATGAATTCAAACCTATCTGGGCAGTCTTTCCAACATTTAGATGAATGCATGCGAAAAGGAGACCATATAGATATAATTAACAATAATAATAGCAATAGCAGTAGACTTATATACCGCTTCATAGGGCTTTCAGCCCTCTCTAAGCGGTTTACAGAGAGTCAGCATATTGCCCCCAACAATCTGGGTCCTCAGAGTCTGCAGCACCTTTTCCAGTTAACACGTTTTATTAAAAGATATAAGCTTTTGTAAGCTGCAAACTCCCTTCATCCAGAGAAATATTAAATACCAGATAGATATTGTGCTTTGCAACAAAACAATGTGATCAGGCTATGCAGGAGAAATTCTGTTCACAATC